ATACTATAAGAAGTCATTAATGAAATAAACCTTCATAACAAATATGATCTAATAGCCTAAGCACAGAGAGAAAAAGAATTAAGAGTTCAAAGTCCTCTAATTTGCCTTGGTTTCCCCATCTTTAATATGAAAAAAAAATAATTGGCCCTTTCTTGTTGAAGCAGACGTCTGCTTGCTTACCGAATGGAATGGCACTGGCTAACAAATCGGCAGGAGCTTCTTCCCAAGAGGAAGGTGGTGGAGGGGATAACATTAAAAAGCCAAGTACCTTTGAAATCAATCAGGACCTTTTTTCAAGGGAAGGGTGGTTATAGGCATCATGGGGTTTAGTTCTGTGTCAATTCCATGTCTCCAGTGTCTAATGCATTCCTCCTGATTTCAGAGTTACAAATAGGTCATGATCAGTGAAAGATGAAGAAGCAAGATTTTTTTTAAAAAAGGTCACTGCTGCAAATTCACAGATGTTTTGATTCTGCTGTACTATGGTCCAAAAATATTCCTGTGTGCCCTTGGGCATGATCTATGAAAAAACTATATATGAGATTTGAATAAAAATAGAAATTCATTAGAATTCTAAATTCACTTCAAGGAACACAAAGAGATGACCATTTGTATCAGTTAGGTTTTCACTAGAAAAGCAGGAGCACCAGGAATGATTCAGAAGGGATTTACTATGGGGATTTGAACTTTCACAAATGCAGGAGCTGGTTAAATAGCCTATGTAAGTCTGCTGCTTCTATGTCTATAACCCATGCTGAAGGCCAGCAGGGCAACCATTCTGGAAAGGAGGAAGAAAAGACTTGAAGTAGAGAAAAGCAAGGACAAGCTGGAACACACAAGGAAGAGTTAAAATACATGTCTGTTTCTCCCTGCCTCCAAGGCTCCAACTTTAATGATGCAAGTGGCTTGCAAAAAGACTGGCACTCTTCCCCGCAGAGCTGCACACATACACACTTGCACCGTGACTCCAAGGAGCTGAAAAGAGGAGATTCTGGAGAGCACTGGAAGAGCTGCAAGCCTGGATGCTAATGCAAGCCAACAGTAGGTTCACCAGCATTTCTGTGATAGCCCACACAACGCATGACAAAACCAGACCTACACTGACTTTCTGAGTGTGGTCATGGCTACTTCACTTTTACCTTCCAAATCTCACAGAAATTTCTCTGTGGCCATCCCTAACCCAGACCATTCTGAGAGAGGTGTTCTAAGAAAATAGTTCCATTTTAGTCAAACTGATGTAATACAAAGCCACCACATCTAGGTAAGCTGCCTTCATGTCCCATTGTCCTGACCCCTCAAAACTGGTGACTGTAGATGCTCTGATAACCCATTTTCTCATTTCAACTTTAGCTCTTTTCTTACTCAAGAAAAAATTGTGTTTAGTACCTTTACTATCTAAGCAAGTGCCTTTATTATTTATTAGGACACATGAAAGTACTTTATAGCAAAAAGCATTATGCATCTATCAATCATGTTTATTCTTATGGAAATTTCTAGCTCTCAGTGTGTGTGACACATTCCATGAATCAAAGGAAGGGGTTAGAAGGGGTTAGACCCTGTAAGGAGAACAAAAAGTCAAGCTAAAGAGTAGAAGAAAATATTTACACAATCACATATCTGACAAAGGACACGTGCCTAGAATATATAAAGAACTTCAAAACTCAACATTAAAAAATTCCACTTCAAAAATGGACAAAAAACACAAAGGCACATTTATCAAAGAGAATACACAGAGGGCAAACAAGCACATGAAAAGATGTTCAATAGCATTAGCCATTAGGGAAAGGTAAATTAATGAGCTATCACTACACACTTTCAGAATGGCTACAAGAAAAACAAACAACAACAACAACAACAAAAAACCCAGCAACAATATGAAGTGGTGACAAGGATGCAGAGAAACTGAGTTACTCATATACTACTGGTAGGAGCATCTGAGAGACAATTTGGCAGCTTCATAAAAAATAAACATGCAACCACCACATAACCCAGTAACTGCACTTCTGGGCATTTTTCCAAGAGAAATAAAAAATTATGTTCACACAAAAACCTGTAAATGAATTTTTATAGTAGTTTTATTTGTCACAGACAAAAACTAGAAACAGCTCAGATGTCCTCAACAGGTGAATGGTTAAACAAACTGTGGTATATCCATTCAATGGAGTACTACTCAGTAATAAAAGCAACAAACTATTGATATATGCAACAACCTGAATGAAACTGCAGGGATGTGCTGAGTGAAAAAAACCCATCCTAACTGGTTACATGCTATATGATTCCACTTATATAACATTATCAAAATGACAAAATTATAGAGAGGGAGAATAGGTTACTGATTGTTATGGATTAGGGTGGGGGAATTGGGTAGATTATGGATTACATGACTGTTGTAGATTAGGTGTCCATGACTGTGACAAGGAAATACAAAGGATCCTTGTGCTAGAACTGGTCTCTATCTTGAGTATGGTGGTAGCCTCAGAAATCTACATATATGACAAAACTGCACAGAACTAAATACACACGTAACAAAAAAATTAAATTTTAAAAGTACATGAAAAACTGCTGAAATCTGAATAAAAGCTGTAACCTGTATCAATGTAAATTTCCTGGTTGTGATATTGTATTATAGTTATGCAAGATGTTACCATTGAGGGAACTGGAAAAAGGGAATAAGGCAACTCTATATTATTACTTACAACAGCATGGGAATGTACAATTATCTCAAATAAAATTTTTAAATGTGCAATGGATTTGAAATCTCAAAGATTTTTTTCTCAAACATCACTTAAGATACAGTTAAAATGGTTTGTGTATAGTTAAAGGACCACTTGAATTGTGTTTTCACTAACTAGGTAAAATAAAAATCAGAAAGATATGATCTATGTAAAGTATCTAGGCCAATGCTTGGTTCATATCAAAAAATTAATAAATGCAGTTTTCTGTCCTTCTTTGCAGCAGCCTTTAGAGTTGTGTGGGTCTAAAGTCATCCATGTCCTTCAGCTTCATGCTGTTGCACTAGAAGATGCAGTTTCACCTCAGGTGACTGTGTAGAGAAAATTGTCCGGTCTTATTTAAATCAATGCATGTGAGCACAGAATGACTACGTAACATTCTCTTTCTGAAAGGCACCTGTCTCATTGCAATTAGTGCTGTGTTGCTCTTCTATGTCTGCAACTCAATCTTCTCCAAAAAAGAAGACTGTAGCACAAAATATGCAAAGAGAAATGCATCTCAGACACCAAGCTGCTTTTTACAAACATGATTACCACAGGTGAAGAGTTCCTCCTTCCCCTAACCCCTTAATTCTCCTTCTTCTTTGCCCTGTTCTGCCAACTTCTGCTAATTGTCCTCTCCATCAATGGCCCTGTCTCCTTGTCTACTTCCTTCCTCCACCCCTTTGTCCTTTGTCCCTACCATCTCCATTATGAATTTAAGACATTTTTAAAAGGCAAGAAGTGAAAACACTCTTCCCCACCCTGGGCCAAGTAGGAACAGGCATTTGACCCTGAACTTTTAAAAGGGAAAATGCTCAGACCTGTGACCAGGGTGGTCTTCCTAACTGCTAAAAACTCAGCACACCTTATGTTGTGAACTTCCACATCTTAAATTAACCAACAACCTTCCTGTAATAAATGAAAAAGCAGGTCAATCCAGAAGTGAAACATTTATATTTGTGCCACCTCAGGAGAATTTAAGAAACATTCGGAAAACGGAAAGTACTGAGCAGCTCACTCGGTAGCCGGGATTCTCTCTCAGTAGAAAGCCAGAACAAGTTTCCAAGAGGACAGATGTCTACAAAAAATTCTCTTCGGAGTCAAATGTGTAATTTTCTCACCCTGCTTAAATCATTAAACTTTCTCCACGAATTGTTGCCGATTGCTATGGTTTCCTTTCCTAAGTCATCAGAGCCACCTGTCAAGAGATGTAGGCCTCCCGGCCAGATCGGGCTTTTCAAGTTACCAACCCAGTCTCAAGTGATCATTACCATAAACACGGGTTCCTATTACACCTGCTGGAAAAGACTTATTAAAACGCCGATAATACCGAGCCGATATTATTTCAACAGTTTTGTCCGGCGCATTAAAATGAGCTGAAATGCTGAGCCACATTCTAAAGGACTGAGGCAAGCTCGTGATGTATAGGACGGCACTTCCCTCACAGGAGCCCTTCTTTCCTCTGAAGCTAGCACTCTTTGTAAATTCAAGAAAATACTCCACGCCACAAAAACCCGGCGCGTTCTCGGTTCCCTTCACACTTATTCACACCAGAAATGCTGAATCATGACTCCGAGGTTGTAAAAGAACAACTGTTTCGGCTGGGACCCTGGGATCCCTGGAGAATCTCACGCCTCTGCGTTCCTTTGCTTTGCACCTTCTAAAGTCTAGATCCCGAGCGGTCTGGCAGACTGGAGAGGCTCGGGAAGCAGCCAAGGGTGCAAGGCAGGGATGGGGGGAAGGGAGGGAGGGACTCTTCTGCTCCTCCCCAAAACCCACGCCGCCCTGGGAGCTCAAGATTCCCGCCTCGCCTCATCTCAACGCGACCCCCGAGGGGCTGATACACTTCTCTTCCGCAGTGCTGCCCGACAACCTCCGAGCAATTCTCAACTTGGAAGCGTCGCCACCCCCGCCACCCTTCTGGAACCCTTTGGGTCCGTGCTAGACCTCACGAGGTCACCATCCGGCAGGGGTCGGGGTGCGGAGGCGGTGCCACCAGCCCGCTGCCCGCCGGCCGCGGGAGAGAAGCCCACCGAGAGCGCAGACACTTGAGAAACTCGATCCCAACTCCCCAGCCCGCACCTCCCGAAGCGCCGGGGAGCCGGGATCAGCGGGGCCCCGGACCCGGGAGCAGAGCGCCGCGGAAAGCCAGGAGGGCTGGGAGCAGAGCAGGGAAAGGGCGGCAAAAAAGAAATGCCCCCGGGCCAGTTGCGCAACTTCTCCCGGTCCGGGCGAGGGTGGAGGGAGAGGGGAGGCGGCGGTAAGCGCGCGCGGTGAGGTACTCACTTGAAGGTGAGGACGCAGAGCGGCCGGTAGGACTTGTGGCTGGTGTTCTCGGCCAGGCCCTTGCCCCAGAAGTCGTTGGCGAAGATGCCCCAGTGGAGCGGGGCGCCGGGCCGCACGTCGGGGTTGTTCGCGATCGCCCACACGTCGTCGTGCACGAACTCGCCCCGCAGCGAGCGGCCGTAGCACAGGCAGCTCGCCCC